TATATTTGTAAGTGGTGCATGTGATCATATGCATGGACTAGATAATAACTGTGCTCATAATGAGAAAGATGTGCACAGGAATGTAAATACACAATGGGAAAAATTGCAGACAGATGCTGTTTGCTCTCCTGTATGCTCCAAAATCCCTTTTTTGCTTTTGAATCCAAAAGTGATACATGATCACACATGTTTATAGGAAAGGATTTGGCTAAGCTACTTAAAATTAGCAAATTAGGTACTCAAGTTACTAGTAATGATTAAACTTGTGTGTGTGTATACTAGTACTTTTGAGGATTGTGCCTGAAAATAAACCTGCTTAAATGAATAGTGGAAAGCTATATGATGCCCAAGGTGCTTTTTCCAAATCCTTTTTGAAACATGTATGGCTCTAACAGCCAGGATTTGCTAAAAGTAAATGCAGGTAAGCTTTTTGTTTTGCTGCAGGACATGCTTTAGAATGGGGTGCCCAATCTGAGACCCACGGCTATGTGTCCCCAAAAACCTTGGGTACAGCCCCCAGAGATCTCTGAAAATGTTAACCAAACTTTAATTTTTAATATCTTAGAAATAAAGTAAATATTAAATACAAGTGATTATACTAGCTATATTTAGTTATAATTAAGTATAAATGAAAGCAATTTTTGTCCACTAATTTTTGAATAATGACTCCCAGCTTACCGCTCAAAATCTAGATGCAATCAATGTACCAGAAAAAAATGTACATTCCTGTTTTAAATTCAACCTCTCTGTGACTACTTTTTACATTTCAGCTGAAGTCTGTGTTTCTCATTCTGTTCAATATTACAACTTTTCTCTCCCAGGATGCATTCACGGCATTCCACCTGCATAAGGCTCAAGCAAGCAAGTATTTGAATTCATTGCTGATAGGGGAACTGGCACACGATCAACCAAGTTCTGAGCCCAGCAAGGATGTGAGTGTTCATAAGACATCAGGATTGGGAACCAATGTATAGTTCTATGCTTTTTAAAAAACTTTACAGTGCAGAGAAGAGAAAAATCAGAATTCTATTCTGTATTAATAATTGTACACTAGAGATAGGAGACCTGTGCCATTTATTTATTTATTTATATTTATTTATATATTTATATATGCCTCCCATCTCCCCCAGAGGGTGACTCTGGGCGGTTTACAATTAAAACGGTTTTGTTTAACAGTTATAGTCAGCAGAGTGAGTGATACTAGGGATTGTAATTAAGCAGCAGAGGACTATTGGTTGCCCACTTCTGGTCTTTATTGCACATTATATGGTAGTGATGAATAGAGATTAATGGTTTACCTGAAACAAAAATAAAAGTCCTGTTTACCTGAAACGAAGTCATTATACACACATACATACACATACGGTGTGTGTGTGTGTGTGTATTATATATAACAAAAACATATGGTAGTGATGAATAGAGATTAATGGATGGTTTACCTAAAACAAAAAACAAAAGTCCTGTTTACCTGAAACAAAGTCCAGATGTGTATTATGGTACAATTAGGAGAAGGCTAATATACCTCACCCTTCCTCCTTTGCCTGATCAGTCCATCTGCCTTTCTTCCTAGTACCCTATCTCCCCTTAGTGACTGCCACATGCTGCCATAGCCTTGCCTTTTCCCATTGTTTCCCATCCTTGAACACCCCTGCTTGATTAATGCTCAGACAAAACACATGTGGTCTGGTCCAGTTATGGATCACCTGAAAACTACTGGTCTGTGTATTGCATATTTTGCATATCTCTAGAAATTGAGAGGGCTGTAATTGACTGGGAAGTTGGAAAAAGATCTTGGGAGAAAACAGTTGTGAACCACTTCTGTATTGTTGCCAAGAAAACAGTATAGAATTGTTCACTCATCATCCCAAACTGAACTCTATTTGAAAAAAAGGTGATTTTTGTTTCTGTATAATATAAAAGTTTGGTGTAGTGGTGAAGGTGCTGGCCTGGAAACCAGGAGACTGAGTTCTAGGCCTCCTTAGGCATCACAGCTATCTGGGCCAGTTATTCTCTCTCAGCCCAACCCACCACACAGGGTTGTTGTGGGGAAAATAGGCAGGAGTAGTAGGTATATTTGCCACCTTGAGTTGTTTTAGCCACTGGGTGAGGTCATCCGTCATTAAATGCTGATGATACCAGTTGTACAATTCCACTGTGGACCAACCATGCAATGCTGTAAAAGTCCTTTATTTATTTATTTATTAAATTTATATACCACCTATCTCCCCCAGAGGGTGACTCTGGGTGGCTCACAATTAAAATAAAAACCCCCAAAAGTTAAAAACATAAATATCCACATTAATAAATA